AACCCTAAACCCTGAACCCCGAGAAGAACAAGAGCGACAGACAGTGAGGCCGAAAAGGAAGAAGAGAAACGTGAGGGTGAGAGATGCCCTAAACCCTAAACCCTAAACCCTAAACCCTAAACCCTAAACCCTGGGTCGGTCATGACGCGATTGGATACATGTCGCATGCGATACCATCTTGGATGGGGAGTTGCTTTCATGAAGGGGACTTGGGACGGATGAGCATAACGATTGAGCAAAGATCTCATAGTTGCCAACCTGCCGCGTGGTTGCCTTGAGTCTTACACAGATATAGACTCAGCACACGGACAATGTTGCTGTGCGCATTGTTGTGCGGATGTGGTGGACGCGCGGAGCCGGACGTGTAACTGGCGTGGGATTCCTGCGCGGTTTTGTGAGTCTTTCTGTATTCTGTTGTGGGAACGTGGGAATCCGGCCGCTCCTCAGATGACAGACCTTCGATCCGAATCCTTGCCTGCCTTGTGCGAGTGTGAGAGCCGAAACCCTAAACACAAAACCAAGCACCTAAACCCCAAACAGTGAAGGCGCTGATACCAATGTTGACTTTGCACCTCCGGCTCCTTTGAGAAGCATTGGGCCAAGGGTGTATCAGGGTTGATGGCTTAGGGTTTAAGGTTTTGGGTTTAGGGTTTAAGGTTCATGGGTTGCTTGAAGTTAAAAACCCAACTTTTCAACTGTTGGCCTCTTGTAAGGTAGTCTTATTCCGAAAGTCTAAACTTTTTACCCCATGGGTATTTGGGAAGTAAGATCGGCTGCTTGAAGGTTCATGGGTAGTTACAAGTATGGTTTGTTAAAGTGCCCTAGGCAAGGTTACACTCTGCAAGTATATAGTTTTCCCCACCTATATCTAAAACGACCCATGGACCTCCAGGTAGAGACGTAGGGCGCTTATTCTCGACGATTTGGACACTTCATGGTTCCGTTGCTACCCTAAACCCTAAACCCTAAACCCTAAACCCTAAACCCTAAACCCTAAACCCTAAACCCTAAACGCGAATGTCCTCGCTTGGTGGAAGCCATCGCAGCTCAGCCTTGGTCCTTAAATTATTAAAGCTCCCCCAAATTTCCGAAACCGAGGACCCCTTGCAGTAAACTCCAGAAAGGTGGCGCATGGTGTGAGGATGATTAGAGCTGGGATTCCGTTTAATATACCTTTGGTGTATGGTGCTAAGGATGTTCCAACCCAATACCCCAAACCCTAAACCCTAAGCCGGCAATTTGGGGGTCAGACCTTAAGGCTGAAACTCAAGGCCCTATTGCGGAGGCCCACATGAACAGGGTTTAGGGTTTAGGGTTTAGGGTTCAGGGCTACTTGGTTGTTTATGGGCAGTCATACTTTTTGCTTCTAATGAACCTCCACGTAAACCCTAAACCCTCAACACTCAACCTGAACAAGTCCTCAGGGTGTGGTGAGAAATTGGCAGGCCGGGACGGAAGGAGGGACGAATTCTGAGTTGGGCAACAATCACTAGACCCAGTGGGGGTGGCAAAGTGAAGTCCCTAAGCCCACAACGAAAGAAACCCTAAACCCTAAGCCCACAATGGAAGAAGCGCAAAAAGGTGCCAGCTCCAACACACCACGTTTGGGCACATCTGCAATTTCGCACTCCGCCACGGCCACGCACCCTGGGCATTTCAGAGGGTTTAGGGTTTAGGGTTTAGGGTTTAGGGTTTAGGGTTTAGGGTTTAGGGTTAGGGTTTAGGGTTTAGGGAGAGTCAGCTACAGATTTTGTTGCAACCCACAACACCAATCCCTGTGGAGATTCAGAGCGCTGTGAGTTGCTTGCATATAGCTTGCCCCAAACCCATTTCAGGCCTGACATGAGCTGAGATGACACTGACTAGACCCAAAAACTAGAGCTTCCAACCCTAAACCCTACACCCTACACCCTAGACCCCAAGCCCTAAACCCTAAACCCTAAACCCTCCATTCTTGGGAAAACGAGAACAGCGGAGGAGAGCCTTCTGGCCGACTGCCGCGGCTTGCTTGCACCGGCTCTCCCGCAGGAGAGGTCTAGGTCCCGGCCACGAAAGGGTTTAGGGTTTAGGGTTTAGGGTTTAGGGTTTAGGGTTTAGGGTTTAGGGTTTAGGGTTTAGGGTTTAGGGTTTAGGGTTTAGGGGTTTAAGGGTTTAAGGGTTTAAGGGTTTAAGGGTTTAAGGGTTCAAGGGTTTAAGGGTTTAAGGGTGTAGGGGTTTAAGGGCTTAAGGGTTTAAGGGTTTAAGGGTTTGAGGGTTTAAGGGTTCAAGGGTTTGAGGGTTTAAGGGTTGAAGGGTTTAAGGGTTCAAGGGTTTAAGGGCTTAAGGGTTTAGGGGTTTAAGGGCTTAAGGGTTTAAGGGTTTAAGGGCTTAAGGGTTTAAGGGCTTAAGGGTTTAAGGGTTTAAGGGTTCAAGGGTTTAAGGGTTTAGGTTTTAGGTTTTAGGGTTTAGACGAGCATTAAAGTTGGTGCTCGGGGTCTGAAAATTTGGTTTGAGAGATGCTTTCCCTAAACGCGAAACCCTAAACCCTAAACCCTAAACCCTAGGTCTCGGGACACACTGTCGGCCTAGGAGGGACAGGAAGTGCTCAAGCCAAGCATGCTCCGTCGTGAGGCTATTTCGCCGGACGTTTCTACTGGGATGACATGAGCGCCTTGGTGACGGCTGCCCCTCAAGCCTAAACCTATAACACCTAGGCCTAAGCCCTAAAAGGATGTGTTTTTTTTTTTTTTTTTCCGGAGGGCGCCGTTGAAGAAGTCTGACTTTGCCACAATCTAACCCCTGTAGGCCCTCAACCCAGAGGACCTCGACACTAAACCCCAAACCCCAAACCCCAAACCCCAAACCCCAAACCCCAAACCCCAAACCCCAAACCCTAAACCCTAAACCCTAAATAAACCCTAAACCCTAAACCCTAAACCCTAAACCCTAAACCCTAAACCCTAAACCCTAAACCCTAAACCCTAAACCCTAACCTATCCAGGCTCGGAGGCCTGGCAACACTTTCTCACTTCGTTGCCCTCGCCAGTGCAGCGCTCCTTGATGCGACACGGGTGCCGGGCTTGAGGGCACGTAAAGGGTTTAGGGTTTAGGGTTTAGGGTTTAGGGTTTAGGGTTTAGGGTTTAGGGTTTAGGGTTTAGGGTTTAGGGTTTAGGGTTTAGGGTTTAGGGTTAGGGTTTAGGGTTTTAGGTTTTAGGGTTTGAGGGTTTGAGGGTTTGAGGGTTTGAGGGTTTGAGGGTTTGAGGGTTTAGGGTTGAGGTTTTTTAAGGTTGCTGAGGGCACTACACAGGCTTGCTTAAGAGAGGGTTTAGGGTTGAGGGTCTTTAAAAGGGTTTACGAGGATTTTAGGGTTTAGGGTCTTGAGGGCACCCAAGGATTTTTGCTTCAAAGGGGTTGAGGGTTAAGGTTTTTTTTTACACAGATTAGGGTTTAGGATTTAGGGTTTAGGATTTAGGGTTTAGGTTTTAGGCTTAGGTTTTCGCCTAATCGGTTTAGGATTTAGTCCAAAGGGTTCTTGTTGAGGGTTTAAAGTTTGGGGTTTGAGGGCTTATGGTTGAGGGAAATGTCTGTAAGATGACCGAGGCCAGTACTGGGTGCTAGCCGCAAACGGCCCGAAGCCAAAAGTCCACTTGCCCGCTCTTCCTTGTGCACAGGAAGCACCCACAAACGAAAACCCGGATATTGCAGTCTTGGCACACTTGGCCCCCAAGACCGCCCGGGACTAGACAGGTTACTCCATCCGTGAGCCCATGAAAGATTGAACCAAACCCCTGTTGCCTAAACCTGAAACCCTAAACCATAGATCCTAGACCCTGATCACAGCCGTTCAGTAGCCCCGTGGAGCATGGCTAGTCGGGTAGCAAAACAAAGCCTGAAACCCTCAGCCCCAAACCCCTAAACCCTAAACCTTCTTATGCAGTGCTTCAGGCTTTGTGCGCGCGGAGGTCTGCACAGAGCAGCGGCTTGCAGAGTGAGTGAAGGGGAACTCTCCTGGTGTGTATCTGGGGTTTAGTTCAAAAAGGACATTAGACCCCACACCCGAAACTTAAGTTCCAATGCGTGGTTTCCGAATTTGCTTGGGGTGTTTAGGTTAGCTTTGTGTTGGGATTTAAAGCAGGTTCAAATTAGGGCTCACGGAGTATCATGCCCAAGCTAGAGGATCTATGCAAGCGGATGGTACTCGGGCAGTTGAAAGCAAGCGGTGTTCGAGCTAAAATGGGCAGCGGGAGGCAACCGGGTGTCAAGGTTTAGGGTTTAGGTTTGGGGTTTAGGGTTTAGGTTTAGGGTTTAGGGTTTGGGGTGGTGCCGTTAACTCCTTAACCCTAACTACGCCTCTGCCCGAACCAAAACCCTCCCGTTGGAGAGTCCAGGCGCGAGGCTCAGAGAAATGTGGGGCTGGATCTAAATCTAAATCATGAAATGCTGCATTTTATACAGCTTCGGATTCCGAAAGAGCGCATGATTTGGACCAAGCCCCCGTGTAGACTACCAGTAGAGTACCGAGTGCCACGGAGAAAAGAAGCGTGTTCTGATGTGCCAGGGATCGGGGTCTCTCTGAGTCCCATTAGGCCTTATGTAATCTGCTGAAGCAAACCCAAAAGAGGGCCCTTTTTAGGGCACATGTTTTTTGTAGGCCAGCACAGCCCTAAACCCTAAATCCTAAACCCTAAACCCTAACCCCTAACCCCTAAACCCTAGCGGCCGGTTGCTGGCTGATTCTGCAGCGAGGAGTGCTATTCACAAGCGGTCGCAGTTGCACCAGCTGACGTTGCAGCAACAATTTGGACGGTTGCCTCGCAACAGTTCGCAAAAACCTTTCGACCCTTAAGCCCTAGAATTTACAAATAGAGCCCGAGGTGCTCATAAGTATCTTCGATTTTTTGGGAGTTCTCACCCTAAATTCTAAACCCTCAACCCCTGAAGCCCCCCTTAAGAAGCAGATAGACCCCCCCCAAACAGCAAATGGTACAGAGACCTATTTGGATGCCCAGCGGGACTTGAGGTTCTTCCTCTTCCCCGGCGCTGCGCCCATTGCAAAGCCTGGGCCTTACTTCCCTGTTTAGGGTTTAGGGTTTAGGGTTTAGGGTTTAGGGTTTAGGGTTTAGGGTTTAGGGTTTAGGGTTTAGGGTTTGGGGTTAGTTCCTGGTCCCTTTATTAATATGGGCCCTTGAAAGGAACCCGAAATATACCCCCAGTAAATCCTACACAATCCAAGGGCCCATACTTCAGAACCCTTTCAGGGACCATATTCAGGGCCCATACAACTACCCTTAGAGGGTTGAGGGAGCCTTAGGGTTCTCTGCCAGGAATTTGAGGCTGGGGGCTCAGTTTTTTGGCAGCTTCCTTGGGAGAGAAGGCCGTGAGAGCCTGAGCCCCAAGCCCCGCACGACCCTCACCCACATGCACCGCGCACGCGTTCTATCCGAGAAGCGGCCCCCAGGATGACTTTGAGATAAGATGTGATGAGGTTTCCGAATGATATCACAATGCTACCCTTTCCGCTTTGAGATCCAAGTGGCCACAGGGTATAACTAAATCAGTGTTAGGGACCTTTTTACTTTTTGGGTTATGGGCTTCTTATATATAAACAAAAAGGATCCTTTTTTCTTCCTAGGGGAACAGGGATTAAGATAAGATCAGCCTTGGAAAACCTCCCGGATCCTTCGAAGCAATCTCAGCCGCCATCGGAACTTAAACTCAGCCGTCCATGTTTACCCTCTCGTGGAGGTCCACATTGTCGCTGCCGGAGCGTGTGAAGCCGCTTGGCTGTACGACCTCGCAGGCCCTCCTTCCTTCACGGAATTTCTTGGGATGGCAGCTGGGCCTAGTCTTGTCTGCAGTGACTGACTATCTGCAGTGACTACGAGGGAAGGCGTCCGAGGCTTCCAGGCCATACACCAGGTACCACCAGGCACAGCCCCAGCGTTGCAACCGTTGACATTGCGGCTGAGACATAACGCGGTTTTCCACACGTCTGGTTCTGCTGTTGCACATGCCTGCGCATCGAAAAGTTATGCGCAGTGGCCTGTTACTTGTGGGGCTTGCGAAATGTGAGTCGTTGTTGAGTTTAGCATGTTAGCTGCATGCGTTAGATGCGACGTGTTGTTTCCAGTCAAGGGGGTGGCAGCTCCCTGCCTAAACCCTAAACCCTAAACCCTAAACCCTAAACCCTAAACCCTAAACCCTAAACCCTAAACCCTAAACCCTAAACGCAGCATCAATGCTCGAACCAACCTTAGGTTACTCGACGGCCACATCTGGGGCCGCGATGCCGAGATCGTTGAGGCGGGATCTGGGATTCCCATGTTCAGTTGAAGGTTTGGGGTTTAGGGTTTAGGGTTTAGGTTTAGAGTTTTGGGTTTTGGGTTTAGGGTTCATGGCTGGCTACAAGTGGGATTACAAGTAAGGTACCTCTGAGTATGACTGGTTATCACCTTGTTTTGGGGACTTACACCACTACTCAGAACTACCCATGAACTTCCAAAGAGACTTGGGAGGGGCTAAGCGCGTTGAGGCCCGGCGCCTGAACAATTTGGGCCTCGGATTTGGTTTGGGGGCTAGTTTGGTTCTCCGAAGACAGCGCTCCACCCTCCCTTCTTCAGAGAGTTTGAAATCCGGAGGGATTCGGGCTAAAAGGGTTTAGGGTCGAGGATTGAACAAAAGCCATCTTAGCATCATCAGGAGCCTGGTCTCGTTCAAAGCACACTCCTTAAAGAAAGGACATTGGGCCTTAAACCCGAAGCCCTAACTCTCGATAAGTCACAGGAACAGCCATCAAGCCCTGTTAAGGGTCCATGTACCTATGCAATAAATTGAGGGATTCTAGTATATATCTGGGCCACAAAACAATTAAGGACAACACTTAAAAACTAGAAGGCAGGAGCCCCGAAAGCCTTGAGTGAACCGAACTTCCAAATACGATGCATTGTAAAAGGGACAAGAAGGAGAGAATAACAACAAAGAAAACAAGCGGCACTTGAAAGAGATAAGTTGAAGGGGAAGATGACTTAGAAAAAATCAGCCCAGCCTCCCCTGACAAACCCTCCGAAACGCAACGCTGTACGCAAGTCATCAATTTTGCAAAGGGCCGACAAAGTTTGCTCAACTAAACCCTAAACCCTAAACCCTAAACCCTAAACCCTAAACCCTAAACCCCCCTCCTCCCCGCAATCGGCGCATTGAAGCACACGGACTTTTTTCGCGCGCCAGGTCTTAGAGATGACGGCGCGAGTTCAGCAGCTGGACGCACATAAGGAGCATAGTCCCCTCAACCCAAAACCCAAAGCCCTGGGTTTAGGGTTTAGGGTTTAGGGTTTAGGGTTTAGGGCTTAGGGCTAGCCGAGACCCTATACCCTAGACCCTAAACCCATCATGGGTCTTAATAAGGGAAGATTGGGCCCCTTGAAGGCCCCCTAAACCCCAAACCCTGAACCCTAAACCCCACTGTTGCAGCGAGTGCCTGCATAAATCCTAAAACGCTAAAACCTACACGCTAAAACCCTAAGACCCTGAGACCCTAAAACCCTAAGACCCCAAACCCTAAAACCCGAAGACAATACAACCCCCAAAACCCTAAGCAAACCCTAAAAAACCCTTAAAAAACCCTACAAAACCCTAACAAAACCCTAAAAAGTCCTTAAAAACCTTAAGGACCCTGAAAGCAGCCTTCCTTGCCCTAAACCCTAAACCCTAAACCCTAAACCCTAAACCCTAAACCCTAAACCCTAAACCCTAAACCCTAAACCCTAAACCCTAAACCCTAAACCCTAAACCCTAAACCCTGGCCTTCCTTGCTTCCTGGCAGCCGAGGCTCGCTGAGAGAGCTCTGATGGGCTCTGTGAGCAAATGATGCGCGGAATGACCCTGTTGGGGGGGTTCTAGGGTTTAGGGTTTAGGGCTTAGGGCTTAGGGCTTAGGGCTTAGGGTTTAGGGTTTAGGGTTTAGGGCTTGGGATTTAGGGTTTAGGCTCAAGGGTTTAGGGTTTCCTTTTACCTTTAGGGGCTTTATCTAGGGTTTAGGATTTACGGTTAGGCTTATAGGGTTTGGGGTTTAGGGGGTTTTGGGGTTTAGAGTTTAGGGTTTCCTTTTCCCCAAAGGGCCCATGTACCCAGATAGTAGATTTTGCCGTGGGCTTGGGTGCTTTTTTGCTTGGACCTTAAAGGGGTCTCCTGTATAGTAGCAGAGTAGCGTTAAGGGCGCAAGTACATATAAACCCTAAACCCTAAACCCAAAGCCCTAAACCCTAAACCCTATACTTGGACCCTGAGAGCTATGCAACCCCTGAGCCCTAAGATGCCGAAACGCAGGGTTTAGGGTTTAGGGTTTAGGGTTTAGAGTTTAGGGGAGTTACAAGGCCCCTACTCGGATGTTCATGGGTAATTATACGTGGGGTTGTAAGGAAGGCAACTAGAACTATAGTTGGTCATTGCCTTCTAACGGTACTCCGAACCCTACCATAACTACCCCCCGAACCTTCATGTAGGTTGGATTATGGATTGGGCTTTGGATGTTTTCTCTTATGCTAGTCCTGAATCGCGATTCTAGTACCGCTATTAAGAATCCCTCTTAAGGGCTGTTAGTATAAGGGGGAACATCCCAAGATTAGGTTTGAGAGCTGCAAATGAACCCCTAAACCCTAAACCCCAAGCAACCCAGAGCCTACAGGGTTAGATGGGGGTGGGGGTGGGGTGGGGGGGGGGGTGGGGGGTGGGGTGGGCTTGGGGGGGGGGGTGGGTGGGGGGGGATCATGCTCTAGGGCTGCCCGACCGAGTCCTGGCTTAAGAGCAACGTGTTTGGGGTTCAGGGTTTGGGGGTTTGGGATTCAGAGTTCAGGGTTTTGGGCTTTCTCGGGTGTAAACCCTAACCTCTCAACCCTAAACCCTAAACCCTAAAACCCCAACCCTGAGCCCAAGGGTGTTTGGGTCACTCCGAAAAGACATGGCTTCCCAAGGAAGCATGACCGTGTGGAAGAAGCGGCATCCTGCTGGTGGTTTAGGAGCCTACGGCCTAGAGTAGGCCCCTATTCACTTTTTTAGGGTTTAGGGTTTAGGGTTTAGGGTTTAGGGCTACTCGGACCCAGAGTAGGCCCTTATTCCCTTTTGTAGGGTTTAGGTTCCCTTGTAAGCTCCTTTAAGCCAAAAAGGGTACCCTTGTTTTTCCTTGGTTACTCTTGGGTCTAGTCCAGGAGTTAAGGGGTTTGGTTTTGGGTTCCCTTATAAAGTAACCAACCCCCCCAAAAGTACGCCTATTATAAGATGGTTACTGGGCTACCAGCGTTTTGGGGTTTGTGGTTTCAGGTTGCGGCCTTATAGGGCTTGGGGCCCTTTAAGGGCTAAGTCTTTAGGGTCCAAGGCTTAGGGTGTCGCATATGTGGGAAGCCGCTTCATGATGGCCTCACGGCCCACAAGCACGTAGGCAAGCTTTATCTTTAGAACCCTGAGGCTAGAAAGTCCTGAAGGGGAATACCCTTGGCCCGTAGACCCTTAACCCTAAAAACCCCAAAACACTACATCCCTTAACCGTAGATCCTAAAAGCCTGAATGCCCACGAGCCAAGAAGTCTTACAGCCGAAGCCCAAAACCTTCAATGGCAAGTCACCTGACACCCCTGGGTAGCCCTTTTTGCCTATGTCTGTCAGTTCTCTCAATCATCGTCCCTTTGAGGGTACCCTTAAATACTAGGGGCCACCTTATAATAAGGACCCCAAGAAAAAGGACCCGAATTTCGAACAATGACACCATGTGGGGGTTCTGAGAGCTTCAATTGAGCGGCTGCCCGGCTGCTGTGCCACCTGAGACGTTTGCTGCGTTGCTGGGGGATGCCCTTGCAACCCATGTACTCTGAGCCTTTCAGCCAATGGGGGTCCAGAGCCCCACGTAGTTTCGGAGGTTCCATCTTGAGTGTAGAGGCAAGAGCTGACCGCATACATCCCCTGTGAGCCCCATGTCCCTTAACTAAGGAAAATACCTTAATTGAAAAAGGGATCCTTATTCTGATTCAAGGAACTATCCTTAATTAAGGGGTATTTGGCTCTTTGAGTCTTGCACCACATCTCTTCTCAGCAACCGTGCACATTGACATAGGAGTGCGCACGAAGTCTAAGGGGGTGCTGCTAATGTTCAGGCAGACCTGATCTACAAATTGCTTAAGATCCCCTCCCCCCCCCCAAAAAAAAAAGTTCTTGCTGAAAACGGGCAATATAGGGATCATTGTATTTCAATTTCTGGGTGTGTTTTCAGCAATTTAAAAGTGATCGCCTGAAGTCTCCGACCTGCCAAGCACTTTGTGGAGCGTCTTTCGTAAGGCCTCTTTGAGGCGGTATGCTTGCCCTGGCTTTGTGAAGACCTTCGACAGGAACCCGGCATTGCAGCGGTCGTCTCCTTCATTAGACAAGACCCACGGCGATGTGGAAGAAAGTTGCAGCGTTGGCTGAAAAAGCATGTGGCTGGACGGTTCCACACAGGGTAGATGTGCGCGCGTGAAATGAAACTCCTTCTTGGGTAGCTTGCAAAGGAGGTGGTGACGTGACATAAAACTATCCCACTGGTAAGGTGCTTGCCGATTTCAATGCTAGCCTAGATAGGAGTTGTTCCGAATTCCGAATTCCCCAAGACATGAACACCACAGACACATTCTTGACAACCTTCATTACTTTAGAAACCCAGTGGTACCCTTTACCATGTCTTGGTTCTGGGTTCCCTTGGACTTGTAAAGTAACCAACCCCAAAAAAGGGTACCCTTATCAGATGTTGGACGGACTACGAAATTGCTGTGAAGCCCAAGCCCTTAAGAGTTCCGCATCCGAAGTACGCTGGGCAGGCCCACGTCACCGCTGCCTTCGAGCGCCTCCAGCCGTGCTCCTAAGACTTCTCGGGTTTAGGGTTCAGGGTTTAGGCTTGAAGGTTCACTTAGTAGCTGAGTGAGCACACTTTACACTTTTTGGGGATACTTTTATCCCCTATAGAACTGAAAGTATACACTTTTTGGGGGCTTATGAACTCAGCAACTAAGTTCGGGGCATATAAGTAAGGGCTAGCAGTGGAGCACCTGCACTACTCATGACCCTGCAAGTAAGTGAGCAGAAACTTTTGGGGTTGCGTCGCATGTTGTCCTAGGACCCACCAAAACCCTAAACTCCGCACTCTCAGTCCGTGGTTGAGAGAAAAAGGGCCTGCTCGGGATCTGTTACCAGCCGTTCATTCAGCGGGTTCGAAGCTATGTGGCGCTGGCGGACGAGACCGTACGCTTTCAAAAAGGCGCCTGTGGATCTGGAGTATTGAGTACGTAAGCCTGCTACGCCACTGGCGCGCTCAGAATGAAAGAACCAGCATGCAAGGGTCACCCTTGACACCGTAACAATGCTCAGGATGCTTGCCTCCCGTTTATCGCAATGCCTTCGCCAGCCGGTGCTCGTGAACTCTACAGGTGGCTCTGTTTGGGATGTGAGCCTCTGGTAAGCCCTAAACCCTAAACCCTAAACTCTGAACCCTAAGCTGATGCTCATGGTGTCCACCTGCCGGCTCGGCTTTTTGGGGAGCTGACGCACAGTTCCCGGGTCAGACGTCGCTCGTCTCAAAAAACGACTCCAGAATGGGTTTAGGGTTGAGGGTTGAGGGTTTAGGGTTTAGGGTTTTGGGTCTACATGCTAGCACTTCTTCCTTACAAGGAGGGGTCCCAGATAGAAGTAGACAGAGAATTGCGCCCTTGTAAATGGGGGTTTCCGAAATTAGGGGTACCTGATTATTGGAGTCCTTATTTCAGAGAATCTTGCTGTTTGGGGCTGCATTTTGGGGGTCGCGCCTATTTTCGTAAGCCCCCAAAGAGGGTTGTAGTTCGTGTGACTTGGCACATAAACAGGGATCCTCGCTTGCAGAGGTTTTGCCTGGGCTTGCAGATGTACCCTAAACCCCAAACCCTAAACCCTAAACCCTAAACCCTAAATTAAATTTCACCCCGCTGTGAGGTGGCTAGTCGGGTGCCAAAAAACGTAAGTAACCCTCAACCCTAATCCCTAAATAGCCCTAAACCCCAAACCCCAAATCCTAAACAACTAGGGCCTAGGACACCCGTTGCTTCTCAGGATGCAGATTGAGTGGGCTGGTGCCACGGGCTTGGGCGCTTCCGCGCCGGCCCCAGGAGCTCTAAAAAGCCCAGGACAGGTTCCCCTAAGCCCCAACCCCTAAAGGTTTAGGGTTTAGGGTTTAGGGTTACCCTGAACCCCCCAACCCTAAACCCTACACCTTAGTAGCAGAGTAGGTAACCTTTAACCTTTTTGGGTTAGATTCCCCTTAGAATCCCAAAGGTTAACCTTTAGAACCCCTAGGTACTGGACAGCTAAGCACCCTAACCGATCCCAGCAGGGCTTAGTCCATAGGCTGCACGGACTAGGCCCTCATTTCCTTAGGGTTGGGCTTCCCTGAAATCCCCGTAAAACCAAAAACTACTATTTGCTTAAGAACCCCCCAAAAACAAAAACATGTTCTTCCTTACAAGGACAATGTAGGGATTATTGTTTGTGTTTTTTGGGGGGTTCTTAAGCAAGTAGTAGTAAAAGCTCTTAGAACCAAAAAGGGTACCCTTTTTGTTCCTAGGTTACACCTGGGTCTAGCCTAACCCTCCTCACTTGGCGAATGCACCTTTGAACGCGGTTATCGTGAATGTTTTGTTGTTCTTGTTTTTTTCTTATTGTTAGTATGATTCTGATCATGACTGTTGTTCTTGTTATTGCTATTACAATTATTATTGTTGTTAGTTTTATTGATTATACATTTTTAGTATGTAAACGAGTTATAAACTCACAGATGTTTGTATTTCATGTATTTGTTTGACTGTATGTGTACGTACCATATGCGTTTGCATGGTCACACTGCACAAAATTCAGCCTCCAGGGAAAAGTGTGGAGCTGTGTAGGTCCCACATTCCTTACGAATAACCAGGGGGACAAGGTCCAAAACCCTAAGCCCTCTAAACCCGAACGCTTGCCTCTTTCACCCCACCGAAAGCCCAGATGCATAGGCTTTAGGGGTTTGGGGTTTAGTTTGGGTTTTGTGGGTTTAGGGAGTTTAGCGAGTCTAGGGATAAATAGTAAAGTCCTATGCCGTGTGAGAGTCGAGAGAAAAGGGGGGAGGGGGGGGCGCCTTTCAGGTCTGCGTCCTGAGCATCATGGCCTATGCAACCATTGCGATGTGCAGCGCTCAGTGCTGCCAACAAGGGTTGAGGGTTTAGAGTTGGGGGTTCAGAGTTGAGGATTGAGGGTCGTGGGCCTGTAGGGTTGAGTGCACAGACTGAGCCTTTACGCCTACTCTTCCATCGCGAAGCTCAATTGGAGCCCTCTGGTCCCTAAAGGATTGAACCCTACATCTGGGCCTAGGCAAGATTTCGCCCTGAACCCTAATTCCGGAAGGCCAGACCCTAGTCTTGATCAAGCTATGGAAAATTGTTTGGGGGCTTGGCGGGCCAACCATTAAGAGCTTACCAGTCTTGTTTGTGTTCCTGCTTTGGACGACCGGCGTATGGGGAGTTTGGGGTGTTGCCCGTCGCAGGTCGGCTCGGTTTGCGCTTGGCATTGGGCCCACGTTGAGATTTGCACTAAACAGGCCCATGTCAACTTGAAGCTCCTTCTGTAGCCTCCTTTGGAATTATTTGTTATTTTTGTTTATAAAACCCAAGAGGGTAATAAACTATTATTTTTGTTAAGGTTCTAAGGTGGAGTGTAGCCTTGTAGGGTACATGTCTAAGGCATGACCTGCTGATGCACGGTGCGGCTAATCTTATACATGAATACTTCAGGTTCCTCGCTGAGCCTACTTGAGAGTCGCTTTGAGAGAGAAATCTTTGAGCCTCCGAGTCGGGATGACTCAGGTGCCGACAATCCTATTTCGACCTTGGACAAATCGCCGGGGCCCCAGCTTCTCGCCGTCCGAAGGCCTCGAACCTTACTACTTCCATAGGGGGGCATCCATGTTTGAGCTACGAGCTAGCAAGTTGAGAAAAAACACCTGCTACGAATGCTAGGGTTGTTAGCTCTCAACCCGCAGAATGCGTAGGGTTTCAGTTAAAGCTTCCGACTGCATGCTGCTTTAAGTCTCCAAGTGGCTGATGTTGTGAGGTCGTGCTGGGTAGAAATCGAGTTGCCAGAAGAAGCACCTCACCCACAGTCACCGAACCCAGCGCTTGTGGCCCCAGCTGAAGAGAGGAATCGAGCTTTGATTCGTTTCATCGAATCCTTGAAAGGAATGGAGAGTTCAGAGTTCCGAAAATGCCCCCTCAACCCTAAACCCTCAAAGGAAAAACCCTAAACCCTAAACCCTAAACCCTAAACCCTAAACCCTAATCCAAAGGTTGCAATCGCTGCCTTTTTCCTCACTTGGGGAGCGCTATTGGGAGGCACGACCGGAGGTGTTCAAGATTTAGGGTTTAGCGCAAAGATTAGGGTGTTCAAGGTTAGCCCTGAATAAACCCTAAGCCCGGGCCAGAGGGATGGGATGGAGGGTTGGGGGCGTAGGGGTGCGGGGTTGAGGGGTTTGAGGGCTCAGGGAGGTAGGCCCTCAACCCTGTCATCCCTTAAGTCAGTTTGTGCCAGGGTTCTGCGTAGGGACAACTGAAGCTGGAACCTGACGTAGAAAGCAAACACCGAGTTAGCTTCGGGCACCTCTATTGCGGGAGGGTGGGGGTGGGATTTCGTTGCTGAATGTCATGTCCTCACCTGATGTTGTAATAAATGTGCTAACCTCGTGCCAGGATTAGATTTAAGGCAGCAAAGGCCCGACCGACTATGCACGGTGAACAGATGGACATGGGTAGTTTCCTGAATTAGGGTCCCTTTTTGGGTACCCATTACGAGGCGACGCCCTTGAAAAGGGATCTCATGAGCCCACTTCGCCAACGTGCCCGACGGCCCCAAACCTCGACAATGTTTCTTCTTTTGGTACCAGACATCTTGCCGGAGGTACCTGCAACTTCATTTCGGCAACAGCCAGTGCCTCAGCATGTTCTTTTGTGCGCTACGGTGGTGTTGTGTCGCCAGAATGTCAATGATTCTCGGGGAGGCAGTTGCCTGATGTCAATTGCAGATCGCAGGATAAGATGCATGTCAAGCAAAGCTATCACTGCTACCATTACATCGTGGTCAGCAAATCTGCGCATGTAGAACCCATCAGGAGATGCGTCGCTGGTCCTACAGAAGCCTGGGCTCTGAACAAGCAGCCGCTTGAAGCTCCAGAGCCTAAGCCATTGAAATGTCATCATCTCCGCGAACCTTGCGCCTAGGCGCCCACAGAGCGAGAGAGGATGCCAGCCTGGCGCTGGTTTTGACAGGTTTGCTAGACTTGGAGGTTCATGGGTAGTTATAGGTAAGGGTTAGAAGTAGGGGAACTATACTCATAACACATAACCTTCCTTGGGGTACTTTAGAACCCTACTTATGACCGCCCATGAACCTCCAAGTAGACTTGGACTTGAGGTTGTTTAGGGTTTAGGGTTTAGGGTTTAGGGTTTAGGGTTTAGGGTTTAGGGTTTAGGGTTTAGGGTTTAGGGTTTAGGGTTTAGGGTTTAGGGTTTAGGGTTTAGGGTTTAGGGTTTAGGGTTATGTACTTGGGTAGTTGCCTAAATTAGGGTCCCTTTCCGTGTCCCTTCATAGTACGGCACCTTTTCAAACGGAACCCCCAGCAAGAGACCCTAATCTAGAGAACTACCCACTTACAACGGGGGGCTGCATCCTTATCGTCAGGGGTATTTATGCCACAACCTCTGTGCTAGTATCCTCCCTCCGTCCGTGCCACCCCTATCCACAGAAAACCTCTGGATTCGTGCCTGGGGGGGTCTCCCGCCGTGCAAGCAGCCATCTGCACGTCGAGCGTCGCCCCTCTGAAGCTGAAGCCTTAGATTTCGAACTCCATACCCAACCTGCCGTATGTTCATTTCGCAAAGATGACACTGCACCGTGCGCTTTTTTATAAGAGCCCTTGAGGCACAACACCCGCACGCAACACAATCCTAAACATGTGTCCCCGAACCCCCATCATTGCGCCCTGGTCCTGCCATGGAGAAGGCCCCGAGCGAAAACTCTCAGAAAAGCTCGGGCGACTTCCTGTCAAAGCTGACCGATTCTCTCCTTCAATGGCTCGAGAGGTTCTGGAGGCTTTGGTGAGATGTACCTAGAAAAAAACCCAACGCCCCCCACTGTCGGTAATATACCTATAATTTATTGCTTACGCGCATACAGTCGTAGTTTTAACGGCGTGCTCCCTAGCTCAGGGAAATTGGGCTTTCCAACCTCAACTCCCAGACCTCAGCCAGGTTCATGCCATAAGGGGGTTTCCGAAAAAGAGGGGGCGGGTCTCCTAGACTAAGGTTTCTACTATTATGGGCTGGGCTGTACCTACTTGGAGGTTCATGGGTAGTTGTAAGTAGGGTTATAAGTAGGGTAACTATACTTGTAACCTTACTTAGGGTACTTGAACCTTTCGAACCCTGCTTATAACTACCCATGAACCTGCCAGTCGGGGACCCCTTTTTGGGAACCTCCTTTATACCTTAATCCTCAAGTGCCCATGACCGTTTAGGCCACAGAACTTCAAACAGGGTTCGGGGATTAGGGTTTAGGGTTGCCGGCATAGCTCTCAGCCCGTGCTCAAAAATGGGTTTAGGGCTTTCCCATAGGAACCAAGAACAGGATTGCCAGAGAGTCTGATGCGAATGCTGAGGCGTCGCAAAAGCATGAGCTGGTGGGCCGTGCGTTGCAGCTTCAAGACGAGGATCGAGCCACATGGGGCTTTTGGGAATGAGGGCCCAAGCTAAACTCCCAAACTTTGAGGGTTTCGGAGTTTTGTAGGCGTTTAGGGTTTAGGGTTTCTAAACTCCCAACCCTGAGGGTTTCGGAGTGTAGGGTTTAGGGTTGACCCCAATCCACCCCCCCCACCCAACCACCCCGGAGGCCGCAAGTCTCGGTGCGACTTAGAGGTCCAGGACTCATAGTAGAAGAGTCGTAGCAAGAGCACCGGGAACAATCGTAAAAGGTTATACTTATTCAATGGCACTAGTATTAGCAACAGCTATCTCAAGTTTTTTGTTTGTTTAAGATCCTTGTTCGCCGCAGCAACGGCTCGTCTGACCTTGTTCTCTGTAAACCCTCATTGAACCCTCTAAAGACGGCCGACCCGAAACCTGGATCCTAAGCCCTTAAGACTAAGCTCTGAAACCCTAAACCCTAAACTTAAGCTCTGAAAACCCTGAACCCGTGACCCGTTAAACCCGAAACGTAAGCTCTGAAAGTCCGGAACTCTGAACCCGTAACCCACCCTAAACTTAATTAAGCTTTGAAACGCCTGAACCCTTATCCCTTAAGCCCTAAACTTAAGCTTTCACCCAAACCCTCCAGCCCCTACCTAAACCCTGAACCCTAAACCCTAAACCCGAAACCCTAAACCCTAAACCCTCAACCCTAAACCCTAAACCCTAAACCCTAAACCCTAAACCCTAAACCCTTACCCGGCCTCTCGCGCTGCTGCCTCGCTGCCCAGGAGCGATGGCAGCAGCTTCTGGAGTCGACCACCGAGCGCCGCACAGAGCGCCCCGCGGCTGCCGGGGGATAAGAGAATGAAAAGAGTGTGTTTAGGGTTTAGGGTTTAGGGTTTAGGGTTTAGGGTTTAGGGTTTAGGGTTTAGGGTGTTTCTATTTCTATTTATATTTCTATGTATATTCTGGTGCTATTTCTATTTCTATTTCTATTGTTACTTCTATTTCTATGTCTATCTATATCTCTGTTTCCATTTATATCCATGTTTATTTGATTCATTCATATCATTCAGTTCCATTAGTTTTTGCATTTGTATTTATATGATGGTGTGTGTGTATATCTACACACATCTACCTCGGGTCCGTGTATATCGGGTTTATGGGAATATGTATGTGTGTACATATACATATATATATGTACAGTTCATAGAACCCTAAGGGTCCATGTGCCACATTATTCTACACTTGGGCCCAGAAGTCCCTATACAAGAGGTCCTTTAAGACCCAAGTACTCCCCATTTAGGTACATGGACCCTAAACCCTAAACCCTAAACCCTAAACCCTAAACCCTAAACCCTAAACGGGGAAAGAACCTGTGCGTGTTTTTTGTTGCGGTGGCTGGAGTGATGGCGGGTTTGGGGTTTACAAGCCCGGAGTGATGGGGCTTGGGGAGTGGAAGCTGGGGGAGGAAACTTGGGGCTTGGGGACAGCGATAGAAGGGTTTTAGGGTTTAGGCTTTAGGGTTTGGGGTTTAGGGTTAAGGGTTTAGCTGCTCAAGTTAGTTGCTCAAAAGGGTCTAGGGTTTCGGGTTTAGGGGGAGGGGAGGCGGGGGGGCGGGGGAGGGAGTGTAGGGTTACAGGTGGGTTGGTGTTGATAAACTTGGGACTGGGGTGTCTCGGGCTTGGAAGCTCAGTTTTGGGGTTTCAAGTCTTGAGTTTCGGTACTCTATTGTCAAACCTATCAAAGCCTTGGCCTACACAAATCAAAGTCAAAGTTTGCCTTAGGCACCCCAACTACCTGGAGACTTATCTGCTACAGTGGAGGAATGAAGAAATACCTTCATTCAGCCGTGCTATTTGCCACTTGTTCAGGGAGCCCCCACCAGGCCATATAGGGAGGTCCTAAGAAGTGCTCGGGAAAAGGCCCCCCCACACAACATCAAGTCCTCTCGCACCCAATCCTACACCCGAATCCCGATCTCAGCGTTAGGCTTCGGGGTTTAGGGTTCTGCCTTAAACCCTAAACCCTAAACCCTAAACCCTAAACCCTAAGCCCTACTGCAAAAAGGTAATGCCTCAGTCCATGCCTCAGGCACCATCTCCTTTCGAACTCTGAATGGCGAAGGGTGCGAGCTCCAGCTCGCCCCAATGCAAACCATAGCGCCTGGCGGCACTAGGGTTTAGGGTTTAGGGTTTTAGGGTTTAGGGTTAGGGTTTAGGGTGTAGGGCTTAGGGTTTAGGGTTTAGGGTAACAGGGTTCGGTTTCTGTTTTGTTGGGAGGTGGGAAGGGGGGGGAAGGGTGGGGGGGCCGGGGTGGACACAGGGCTTGTTGACCTTAAATTAAAGGTTGATTTTGCCCTCTCATCTGGAGCGGCTGTGGCAGGCTTAAACCCTAAACCCCTAAGCCCTAAACCCTAGAGAGGGCCTCTGACGCCCCAGAAGTCAACGATGCCTCTGGTAGAACTTGTTGAACATTGAAGTTTAGGGTTTAGGGTTCAGGAAGTTTAGGGTTTAGGGTTTAGGGTTTAGGGTTTAGGGTTTAGGGTTTAGGGTTTAGGGTCCACCCGCAAGCTCTTGTGCGTCAGGCGTCTGTCAAGCTGCGGGTGCTGCAGGAGTTGGAGCCGTCCCTGCCTGCCATAGAAGCGGGCACGAGGCCGACGCGAGTTATCCTAAACCCTAAACCCTAAACCGTATCTTGGGTTATCTCAGGGTAATTGCAGTAATTATTAGAGGTTTCTGGGTAGTTTCAAAGGGGCTTTATAGGAGGGATTTAGGGGTTTAGAGGGGTTATCTTAGGGTAATTGCGTGGTCCCTCAGTATGGGCCCTTAAATAGGGGATTTTTATGGACCCCTTATATACCAAGGGCCCATACTTCAGAATCCTCTTTTGAAAAAAGGTAAGAGGCCATATTAAGGGGCCATGTAACAACCCTTGAGATTACATGGGGGACATATAGGTCTCTATACTTAGGGTGACGTAGGGTTCTGTGATGGGGGGTTGACCATAAAAAGGCAGGTGCTCCTTAAAAAAAACACGTACCGCCAAATGCCAGCATCGAGTTATGAGCTGCAGTTAGTTCACGTTGAGGGCAAGTTGCAAGCATGCAGGTTCGATGCCTGTGTTTTGGTTGCGTGCGGTTCAGGACTACAGCAAAATAGTTGAAACCCGACAAGTGCTTACATCAACGCATCCAGAACCCCGAATCATCCCCAAGGGTCTTCAGATCAGCCCTGCAGGCGTCAGGTGAAGCTGCTGCATTCCCATGAGGTCCTTTGTGACGACCTGACGCCGGGCTGGGATACGCTTTGGGGCTGCCTAGGGGTTAGGGTTTGGAGCTTTCAGTGCAAGGGGGAAGGGTCGATGGGCTAACCCTAAAGCCTAGTTAACCCTTAGGGAACCCAGAGGGTCCGTGTACCTGTAAGGTATACACTTGGGCCCTAAAGCTACTACCTAGGGACCCTTTTTGGGGAAGTCAGTCTCATTCGTCACGAAGTTGTTCCCCCGCAGTGTGGCTAGTCTGCTCGGGGTGGCAAGTAGTTAAAACCGTAGGTTGTGTACAAGCATATCGGTCTGCTCTTCAGCAAGTTTCCTGTTCTCGGAAGCCAAGATGTGCATGACGCATGAAGTGGATGGACTTGGCAGCTGCCAGGGTTACCGTCAGCGCTTCGCTTGTGCTGATGTTGCAAATCAAAAAGCGACTAATTGAGTATGCATGTACATAAAAAACACAAATTGAAAATGCATATTATTTTGCATATTCACACGAATACTTCTTTGCGAACTCGCTAGATTTAATTCGTTACGTGTATATGCATAGTCCGGGATTGAGAGATCCTGAAGCATACCCACGAGGCGTACCTACTGGGCGTTGTGGCCGAAGGACGCCATGTCAAATGCAGTCTGCAACTCCTAAACCCTGAGCCCTAATCGCTTCAACCACCTGAACCACAAAGCCCCCAAACCCGAAACCCCGAAACCCAAACCACGCCACCCAGGCTCGAGCTTCCATCACCTCCAGAATCCCGTTTTAGTTCGCTCAAAGGGGTTCGGGTTTAGGTTTTAGGGGGACCATGTACGTTTTTTAGAAAGCTACCACATACCTTTAAACCGGGGCATGGACCCTTTGGGGAAACATCACCTGCGTTTGGTGTCTAAAGCCTGCGGTTTTAAGATGTTTTAAGAATGACTACTTATTGGGCAAATTGGAGCCTTGGGGTTATAAGCGCTACCTTGAAGACGTCTTCCCTCATTCAGATACACCAGCAGACGCCAGACGACAAGTCTGATCCCCCAAACCCTAAGCCCTCAACCCTAAAACCTAAACCCTAAACTCTAGACCCTAAACCCTAAATCCTCAACCTGATCCTTGCGTCTCAGGATCGTGGCGCTGGTGCCCGACGAGCTCACTGTGGTCTTCAACATCATTGAACTCCCCGCGCATCGGACCTGAAAGCAGTTGAGTAAGACGCCGAACATCTCGGATGACCATGAGTTCTCGGGCACCCTTATATGGGGGTCGGAATAATTGCGAATAGTACCTTGTGGTCTTTTGTAAGTACACTATGATAACCCCCAAAACCCTTTTCTAATTACTCAGGCTCCTACATTAAGCCCTAAACCGTAAATGGGCCTCCCCTGTGTGAGCTTCGGCTTTTCGGGTTTGGCTTGGCCTGGCGTCCGTCTTGCTTTTTTGGCAGTGGGCAAGCCTTCTGGGTTTAGGGTCTAGGGTGAAGCTCTTGCCACTGAAGCAACCCCCATCCCCCGCCCCCTCTACAACTCTAAGCCCACTACGAGAGCTGGCTTGCAACATCTTGCAACTAGGCTTTGCAGGGTTTAGGGCTGGAGGCGAGGCACAGGGGCTGCTAGCCGGGTGGCCAAAAAAACCTACGCCTGCACCCTAAGGCCTTGCAAGCCCTAAACCCTGAACCCTGAACCCTAAACCCTAAACCCTGTCAACCTCAAAAGCTGCAGGCCAGAAGTCCCTGCTGGGAGGATCATGGGTAGTTGTAGCTGAGGTGATAAGTTGCGTTTGGGGTTTAGGGTTTAGGGTTTAGGGTTTAGGGTTTAGGGCCTTTAGGGCCTTTAGGGCCTTTAGGGCCTTTAGGGCCTTTAGGGCCTTTAGGGTTTAGGGTTTTAAGGTTTAGGGTTTAGAGTTTAGGGTTTAGGTTAACCTATTTAAGGGTAGTTCAAGAAAACCTACTTGTGACCTAAACGTACTGTTAACTACTTGAAGGTTTAGGGGTAGTTCTAAGTAGGTCATATGTACCCTAAACCCTACACCCCTAATTACACCCCAGACCCTCCTGAACCCTAAACCGCAATTATAGTGATAGTTACCCTACTTATGGCCCTACTTGCAATTACCCAATGAACCTCCAAGTACTGGCATCTACCCTTCAACCTCCAACGTTGGCTTTTGGGTTTTGGGTTTTAGGTTTTGGGCTTAGCTTTCAGGGTTTAGGGCTTAGGGTTTCGGGTTTATGGTTTAGAGCTTAGCCCTGCAAGCCCCCAGACCCTTTGCGCAATCGAAATTTTATAGGGTTGCTTAAGGGAGGGGCGTTCATGGAGGTAGGTACCTAGGAGAGCCTTGGAGTAGTGGGGAGTATTCGGGAACCTCCCTAAACCCTAAACCCTAAGCCCTAAACCCTAAGCCCTAAGCCCTAAGCCCTAAACCCTAACCCTAAACCCTAAACCCTAAACCTTCCCTTAAGAACCCTGCAAGAAGCCCAGACTCCCCGAGCCACCGGCTCGAGCAGTTCCTACGAGAACCCGGTCGCGGCTTTTTTTGCCTTCAGCTTCGGAGGGTTTAGTTTTTTTTTTGGGGGGGGAGGGTTTTAGGATTTTAGGATTTTAGGGTTTTAGGGTTTTAGGGCTTTAGGGCTTTAGGGCTTCAGGGTCTTCGGGTTTTAGGGTTTCAGGGTTTCAGGGTTTCAGGGCTACAGGGTTTTAGGGTTTCAGGGTTTCAGGGTTTTAGGGTTTTAGGGATTTAGGGGGGCTTTAGGGAGTTTAGGGTTTTGGGGAGCGTAGGGTTTAGGGTTCAGGGTTTAGCGGAGTTCTGGGGAGTTTGGGGTCTATTTCGCCTTCAGCTCCGGAGGTTTTAGGGGTTTTACTGGGTTTGCGGTTGGTCTAGCGAGTTTAGGGTTTTGGTTTTAGGGTTTTTCGGGGGTTGAGGGTCTATTTCACCTTCAGCTCGGAGTTTTCAGGGTTTAGGCGGTTTGTGGTTTAGGGTTAAAGGGGGTGTAGGCTTGTAGGGTTTAGCACTTGGGGTCCTAGGGCGTTTAGAGAGTTTAGGGTTTTGGGGGAGTCTAGGGCTTAGGGGAGTTTTGGGAGTTTGGGGTCTCTATTTGCCTCGACTCCTTGTCTTTGAGTTCTAGGGTTCCTAAGAGAGGGGGCTTCAAGAGGGCTATGTACCCCAAGGTTCCCTGACACTCCACACTACTCCCTAAGCTTCCCTAAGGCCCTAAGGTTTCCTAGGTACCTACGCCCATGAACCCGTCCCTTCAGAACCCTATTTATTGAATAGCACAAGCCCATTCCAGAGCAGCTGGTCCCCCAGAAGGAACCAGGGTTTAGGTTCTGCAGGCTTGAAAGGGGCGAAGTGCTGGCCCTAAACCCAAAACACCCAGGATTGTTTACCCTAAACCCTAAACCCTAAACCCTACACCCTAAACCCTAAACCCTAAACGCTCTTCGCGCCGCGAACTTCCAGCTCAGGAGTGGGACTGGGACCACTCGGAAGACAGCGACCGCTACTCTGTGTATGGATCGGATGACTCCTGAGGCCGAGGTTGGTGCGGCATGTTTAGGGTTTAGAATTTGGGATATAGGGTTTATGGTGTAGGCTTTCTCGACGTCGAGTTTTGGAGAGTGAAATAGGTTTAGACTTTCGGGGGAAGTACAGTAGGGTTTAGGCTTTGGGTTTTACCCTAATTGGAGGTTCATGGGTAGTTATAAGTACCCTAAGTAAGGTTGTCAGGTAACCTTCTTAAAATCCACTTCCAACTCACATGAACCTCCAAGTACCTTAGGCTCTTCTTAGGTTCAGCAACTTTGAAGGAACCGATGTTGCGAAACTATCCTCGGATACCTGAAGCCTGTACACGAACGGCGGCGGCGTTTGTCAAACAGCTGCTTTCAGAGCATGTTAGTGGCTTTACGAATGTGGTGCCGTCACTCCGGGTCAGGCCAGTCCCGTCCCCTTATCCGGATCCCGTGTCAGGCTTTTTGTTGACTCGGTTATTGTAGCCAGAGTACGCATCCTTAAGTCGGGTGGGGCCGCCCTACCCGACCCCCTGAATGACCCCCGCAGAACTACAGACACCCATGACACCCCCGCAGAACCCGACGAGCGCTGCATAGCCACGCAAAACCTATAGGGAAGACTACAGAACCGCCCGCTGCCTCGCAGAAGCGCGGCTGCCCCGCAAAGGATATTTCAGAGGGCGCATAGACAGCCCACCCCATGAATTGGCACCCCATTAAATTTGGTTCTCATCTCCCCCCTGGACTTCGAGGCAACTCCCCCTCCGACTTTCCCCCAGTTTTCTGCATTAGTTGAGCGACATCTGATGTGATGACCTCAAGAAAGGGAGTTCCATAAGCTCCAAACCTCAACGAATCCATCTATCAGACGTAACCTTCCCACTATATATAGAACCCCGAGCCGGAGAAACCTGGAGGTTTCTGTACTTGCGGCGTCCTGCTCGACGAATGGGCCAGTAAAGGCCGGACAAGTTTCCACAGTCAGTTACGAGGGTTTCCGAAAATTGGGGGTACCTTATTGGGGATCTTTTTATAAGGGGACCCTACTATTTGAGGGGTCAAAATGAAGGGCCCCTCACTTTCGGAAAACCCTTCATGGCTTCGAGAGCTTAGAGGCGTTCACCTCCCAGCCAGCAAGCTGCCATGTAGCAACGTGCAGTCTCACACATGTCACGCTGCGCGGCGCTCCGGAGCTCTTTAGGGTTTAGGGTTTAGGGTTTAGGGTTTAGGGTTTAGGGATAGTGCAGAGCCTGGGTTCAAAGGGTTTAGGGTTTAGGGTTTAGGGTTTAGGGTTTAGGAAACCTTATGTTTTCGGAGCCTTTCTTGAACAGGACCTGATGCCGTAAGATGCCGGAGCTGCTGCGTTTCACAGCCCTGGTGCGACCACGCATCATTCGTCCTTCTGGCCTGCCCAATGTAGAGCTCAAGTCATCGGGACATCCAGACCGTTTGAGTTTGCAGAGAGTAGGTCTTCGAACGATACCGAATACAACCTATTCCTTTTCGGGCCGCCCTACGACCCTCGGCTCTTGGGTACTCTGAACAACCCTTGTAGACCCCTGTCTGAACTCTACGAATACGTATAGAGGCCCTGCAAGTTTGCACTTGAAGGTTCAGGGGCAGCTATCAGTAGGGTGATAAGTAATCCAATTACAACTATAGTTTACCCTAAACCCTAAACCAGGGTGTAAACAGAAGAGGTTGTCGTGAGGTCTATGGGCAGGCACAGCAGAGCACGACGGACGAGGCACAATATGCGCAGGAGAAAAACTCAGTCCCACACGTTGCACCTAAGGGTTTCGGGTTTATGAGGTTTAAGGTTTAGCAGCCCACAACTCTGCCAGGATAGGTCCCTGTAAAGAATTTGTTCAGCTAGAAGCAGCAGCAGTTGAGGATCATTCTGGATCTTGGTGGGCCGATGTTTGATGCCCAGGATACCCTGGTAAGTTGCCAGATGTTTGCTCTTCGCAAAAAAAACTCTGTGCAAGAGAAGTCATGCGGATGAGTCCCCAGGGCCACTGGATACCGGAACCATGGTCTCCATTTTGTTCCCAAAGGATATTTCTTAAGTTTTTTTGGTAAACTTGCGGGGGTTTACCTGAAACCCTGCAGTAGCAGTTCTGAATGAGGAATATGAGTTAATAAATAAATACATTTTAAATAAATATATATATATATATATATATATGCTACCCCCCCCCCCATGCGCCCACGCTTCAGCATGGTTTCCAGATAAAAATACTAGGTTCCGCCCTGCCCGGTGGTTTTTAAAGGGGGAGGGACTCCCATAGAAACTCCAGCAGAAGATACCTGAACAATTTGCTCGAAATTGTGGATTGCATGCCATGAATTTAATACAAATCCTATGCAGGTGAATAGCGTTCCTATCAATGGGGTTCATAGGATTATTTAAATCTTATTAAAATGAAAAGGAGACCCGTTAACATGAATGAGAACCCTTAATTCGATTAAATTCTATGGGAACCCTATTCAAATGACAGAATCCTTTTTAAAATTGATAGGAATCATATTACATTTGTAGGAGCCTTATTAAAATAATTAGGCTATAAAAATTGATTGGAATCTTTTAAACAGAAAAATAGTAATCCTCTATTGAAATCCATAGGAACCCTATTAAAATTGATCGGACTGTATATAAAGTGAATAGGAAGCATATTAACATGAATAGGAACCCGAGTGGAGTTAATGAGAACCCAATTATACTTGATAGGATCCTAATAAACTGAAGAGGGCCCCTACTAAAATTTACAGGAACCAATGGGACTCTTATAAAAAAAATGTGAACCCTTAAAGAATGGGAGTCCTACTAGAATTAATATAAGCCTAAACCAAAAGGAATCCCTTTCAAACGAATGAGATCCCTATTAAACATTGATACGAATCCCATTAACATGAGTAAGAGCCCTGAAACTGATAGGAATCTTAGTGCATTAGTGGGAGCCTTATTAAAATAATTAGGAACCCTATGAAACTTTATTGGCATCCTATGAAAATATGTAGGAATCTTTCATTGAAGTCATAGGAATCAAAGTTTCATAGCGTTTTTATTTATTCTCCTTCTAATGTAATAAGATTCCTATCCTTTTTCGGGTTCTTATTCATGTTAATGGGATTCGTATTAATTTTAATAGGGATCTCATTCGTTTGAAAGGGATTCCTATTGGTTTAGGCTCATATTCATTTAGTAGGATTCCTATTCATTCTTGTTAAAGGAATCTTATTTTTTCATAGGAGTCCTATTAGTTCAAATTAATCTTAGTAAGAATCCTTCTCATTTTAGTATGATTCCTATGAATTACCACCGCGTTCTTTTTGATTTGTTAAGGTTCATTCTAATAGGCTTCCTCTTAGCTTTTATCAGAAACCAATTTGATAGATTGGAGTCCTATAAAAATATATAGGAATCCTCTATTGAATTCATAGGAATCCTGCCAATATTTTTCGGAACCGATAAAAGTTAATAGGAAGTGTGCACATGATGCTTGTCGTAGCATCAGGCATGCCGTGAAACATTAGAGTTTAGTTGCGAAAACGCTGCACTGTCCCAAAAAAACAAGCTTTTCAGCCAAAAAGTGCAAAAATGCTGTGCTGTCCCAAAAAAACCAATCTTTTTAAGGCAAAAAGTGTAAAAATGCTGTACTGTCCCAAAAAAACCAAAAAAACCAAAGTTTGGAGACCTTGGGCTCCTCCAGGGCCTGGAGGTCTCCAAACTTTGGTTTTTTGGGTTTTTTTGGGACAGCACAGCATTTTTGCAGTTTTTGGCCTCAAAACATTGGTTTTTTTGGGACAGTACAGCGTTTTTGCAGTCCCAGGCCTCGAAAGTGCTGTACTGTCCCAAAAAAACCAATCTTTTTAAGGCAAAAAGTGCAAAAATGCTGTACTGTCCCAAAAAAACCAAAAAAACCAAAGTTTGGAGACCTCCAGGCCCTGGAGGAGCCCAAGGTCTCCAAACTTTGGTTTTTTTGGTTTTTTTGGGACAGTACAGCATTTTGGCAGTTTTTGGCCTAAAAACATTGGTTTTTTTGGGACGGTACAGCAGTTTTGCAGTTTTTGGCCTAAAAACATTGGTTTTTTTGGGACAGTACAGCGTTTTTGCAGTCCCAGGCCTCGAAAGTGCTGTACTGTCCCAAAAAAACCAATCTTTTTAAGGCAAAAAGTGCCAAAATGCTGTACTGTCCCAAAAAAACCAAAAAAACCAAAGTTTGGAGACCTTGGGCTCCTCCAGGGCCTGGAGGTCTCCAAACTTTGGTTTTTTTGGTTTTTTTGGGACAGTACAGCATTTTTGCAGTTTTTGGCCTAAAAACATTGGTTTTTTTGGGACAGTACAGCGTTTTTGCAGTCCCAGGCCTCGAAAGTGCTGTACTCTCCAAACTTTGGTTTTTTTTTTTTGCTTTTTTTTGGGACAGCACAGCATTTTTGCTTGTTCTGGCTTAAAAAGATTGGTTTTTTGGGACAGTACAGCGTTTTTGCACTTTTGGGCCTAAAACATTGGTACAGTAGAGCCCTTTCGTGCTCGCTGGCCTAGGAGGCTTCGAAATCCTAAGCCTCTAAACCCTACCATGGCACCTGAGAGGAAAAAGTGTGGGCATATGGGGGGGGGGGTACCATATATATATATACATATATATATATATTTATTTATTTATTTTTCATACCAAAACATGATGTATACTTTGGCCGACGAGGGACACTACCTGAAGCTGCAAGGCATCCACTCGTTCACTTAAGTAGGGCCGGGATCCATGCAATGTCCTTACAACACGGGACGACGTTCTGGTGCTGAGCTAGAAGTAAGGGGGTTTAGGGTTTAGGGCTTAGGGTTTAGCGTTTAGGGTTTAGGGTGGCAAGAAGGTTCTCGGGCGGATGTATGTTTCCCTCCAATCACAGGGTTCCAACTAGCAGCGGCTTCTAGCGTCTCCTGCCCATCCATGCTACCAAAAGCGCGCGTCATCATCGCAGCTCGAGTGACACAGAGCTCCCAGAAACGCTTGTGCAGA